GAGATATCGTGGAACCAAATCGCCTTGCACATATATATATATATGATGATGTCGTCCTCCCGTTTGTGACTACTCATGATCCGTCATTATCAAATGCCTTCAAATTTATAAAATCGAATCTTCCGATTTTATATCAAAGTGATACTATGAAAGATTTGGTAAAAGAATAATCGATCATTTATAGTAGAAAACAACCGAAAAATTTGAAACGCTAACTTACAAAAGCGCGATTCGATATAGTTGAACGCATATCATCCGTGAAAATTTGTGGCGATTCACTCTGTGGAGTATGTTCAAGAGACAATTATAACTATTTAGAAATCGGCAGTACGAAATAATTCAAAAATGGTAAGAAATTTACAGTAAACACAAATATGACTTGTAAATCAGCAAATTTACTCTATTGTATAACATGTGTCAACTGTAAAGAAAACTACATATGTCAAACAGGAATTAGTGTGTGCGAACGGGTTAGGATCCATAAACAGCAAATACGGCAACCCGAGTACAGACAAATTCCGTTGAGCGAACATTTAGACATTTGTGCGAGAGGGAAATTCAAAATTTTCCCGTCCTTCAAATGTACGGTAGCAACAGAGGAATGCCGTAAAGAGCTAGAAAGAAAGTTCATAAAAGTGGTTGACGCCAAGCGAAATGCATATATGTAACAGTTACATGTACAATGACGTTGCGTCATAATACTAATGTGTTCCCCATAACGACGTTCATAGTCTTGAAAAGTCCCAAGATGGATAAAAGCGCTAGTCAATGCTGCTTTTAAAACTCTTTTTGTGTATTTAATTTTAATATATATAGCACTCAGGTAATCCCACATACAAAAACATATCATTTGACAAGGATGAGATTTTGGCGAATCATAAGTTCGTCATGGTTTCAATGAGCATTATATTGAACAACAAATCGGAGGACTTACCTTGTTTGTATTGGATACCTAGGCTTCACAAAATTTCGTACAAACAACGGTACATTGCCGGCTCATCTGCATGTTCGACTAAAAAATTGTCCATTAGATTGACAAAAATTCTGTCCGCAGTGAAAGAGGGTCTTCAGAAATACTGTGAAACTGTTTACTCGCGTAGTGGTATTAACCATATGTGGATTCTAAAAAACTCAAAGAACTTCTGGATAATTTTAAATCTCGATCTTTTTCTGCAATTAGTTCTATCAAAACTTTTGATTTTTCAACCCTGTATACCACCATTCCCCATGTGAAATTGAAAAATCGTCTAAAAGAAATAATCGACAATGCTTTTCAACATAAAAATGGTCGCATACGCTATAAATTTATTACTTTGGGATACCATACGGCATATTTTGTTAATAGTGAACAAAAAGGTAAAACATGCTACACAGAGGAACAAGTGATCAGTATGCTGGAGTTTCTTATTGACAACATATTTGTTGAATTTGGAGGTAGACTTTTTCAACAAATTGTCGGCATTCCTATGGGAACGAACTGTGCGCCTCTTCTTGCCGACCTCTTTTTATTTTCATATGAATCAATCGGAGTTCCGTCAGACACTTGTCAAAAACAAGACGATCAAAGAAGCCAAGGTCTTTTAATTTCCCATTCAGATATATTGATGATGTTCTTTCCATTAACAATCCAAACTTTTCTGATTGGGTTCCATTAATATATCCCCTAGAACTAGAAATTAAAGAAACAACAGACACGGCTTCCTCAACCTCATTTTTCGACTTATACCTCGAATGTGACATACACGGTCATCTCAGTACCAGAATCTATGAGAAACGAGACAATTTTAATTTTGAAATTATCAATTTCCCCCACCTTAGTAGCAATATACCAACTTCAACTGCATATGGGATATACATTTCCCTACTTATTCGGTATTCAAGAGCTTGCAGCTCCTACTCAGACTTTGTAAAACGTCACCAGTGTCTGAGCAGAAAGTTGTTGAACCAGGGATATGTCAAAGAACGTCTCGTCCTTTTTCTAAAAAAAGTTCATTGGAAGGTACCAAGGCCTTGTTGATAAATATTCAGTATCAACTTCTCAAATAATACACGATGGTCTTGAAGTATAGATTCTGGGTACTGACGTTGTTTATCATCTTAATTACGTGTTATTGTATTCTTTTAATTGTCTTTATGAATATTACTTTTACTGTTTAGTCGTTTTTTGTGATATCCATTTGACGTGTCTCTGTACTTATACATCCCGTCATTGTGTTATTGTGCTATGGTACTTTTTTGTATTCTTGTCTTTCATTTTTGCTAGTGTGCCTTGTTTATATGCCTTTTTGTGTTTCTTTGTTACATATTTGTTTGTTTTTATAGTGATCAAGATAACAATACAATGTTGACTGCTGTACCCCTATTTTTGACATTTTTACCTATCGTGTCTGTTTGTTTTGTTCACACATCGTTGTCAATATATTGAAATTTTATGCGACTGTCATACAAGTGAGAGGTTTAGCTAGCTATAAAACCAGGTTTAATCCACCATTTATACATAAGAAAATGCCTGTACCATGTTAGAAATATGACAGTTGTTATCCATTCGTTTGATGTGTTTGAGCTTTTGATTTTGCCATTTGATTAGGCACTTTCCGTTTTGAATTTTTCTCGGAATTCAGTATTTTTGTGATTTTAATTTTCAATATATATAAAGGATGCACACTAACCACTGTCCAATTGTGATGTGCATCTATTTGTGTTACACAGTTATTTTACAGTTTATGATGAGTTATTGTTCTTGTATCATGAAATTAATTATTGAAATGGTTCCGATTTTTTCAATTTTTTCACCTATTACAGGAGAACTGTGAAAGGTAAAAGATAATAATGTAATATTTAATAATATGTAATGTTATATCACCACTAGTTATCCGATGGAGAATGTCCGTCATTAAGTTGTTACATGTTGAAAATTAGATATGGCTGCATGCTAATTAACATTAGCGACAGATAAAATACCTGATTTAAAATGTACACCATCTACTTGCCACTATACATCATGTACTGTGTGTTTACTGTTTGATCTTACATGATTTTGCCTTATATTACAGTTATTTGATTTTTGTTTTATATATGCATGTAAAATTAAAGATATATAATCAGCTACTTCATTTATATGATTTTAAGTTTTTTAATAAAATAGCACCATTACAAACGCAATCCCAATTTAATATTCTTGTTCGTGTCTTAAATTAAAACAAATCTATTTTCTTTTTTTAGAAAGTTACCTCTGATAATATAAACATCCTCAAAAAATACGTCATTTTGTGTGACGTTGGTCCATTCATGTAAAGCGCAGTTCATTTCGTTTGTGGTGTCCTGGTGAACTGTCGTAAGGTGTCCGTTTTATCCTGCGGTTTATATGTTGTAATGTACTATTATATTATTTATTAATGTATTTCTCAGTGCTGAGAGTTCTTGTGTTTGTTTGTACTGTATTCCTGTCACGTGGTGTTGTCATTTTAGCGATATTTATAACATTGCCATATAAGTGAGAGGTTTGGCTAGCCACATAACCAGGTTTAACCCACCATTTTTGCTTAAACTGTCCTTTACCTAGTCAAGAATATGGCAGTTGTTACCTACAGTCCATTTCTATGTATGTTGGCGTTTGCTTTTGTTGTAGTTCAGTGGTTCTGTTGTTCCGTTTTTTTCCTCTCATCGTTGATGTGTTCCCCTCGTTTTTTTTTTACCCGGATTTGTTTTTGCTTAATCGAATGATGACTATTGAACAGCGGTATACTACTGTTGCCTTTATTTATAACCCTAGACAAAGCCGCCGACCAGCGAAAGCTATATTTTTATATAGCCTATGTGTTCGAGTGGTCTAGGGCGCTGGACACAATGCAGACGGTGTTGGCACGTGCACGATGTCACAGAAGTAAGGGTTCTAATGCCGGTGATGGGAGAACATAAATTTGCTAACGCAAATTTGAATATCTAACATTGTTGGGCTAAATATGAGACGAATTATATATTTATTATGGTGTTAGCCAGGTATAAGCAAGTGTTATCCGAGGGAGAATGTCTGTCATAAAATTGTCACATGTTTAGACGTGTATAATAAAATTATAATTTGATGTGGCGGCATGATGATTAACATTATCCTTCTTTACAACAAACGAAATAGATGAACTGAAAGTACGCCATCTACTTGTCACTATACGTCATGTACTGTGTTACAACCCTAGATGAAGGTATAATACCACCAAATCATAGCACGTCACATCCGGTTGCATACGAAAAAGGGTCGAAATAAAATATTCTCTTGAATTTGACATTTGTAGTCATAAACATTTATCTTCGGTGTGTTAAAGCACCATTTTTTTTCAATTTGGTGTTTCTATAGAATATACTTGAAACTTGAGGTTTAATGGATAGTAAAGCTTGTACACAAGGAAAAAAGAGTGAAAATTTGATTGGTTAATTTCCAGTGATGTTTTTGTCTTATATGCAATGGAATGTTATAAGAAATGTTGTCTGTAGTACTGGACAGAAAAAAAATTTACTCATGCCAAGTATTTCTTTATTTGAAACAAAGATAAATTCTACACATTTATTTGAATACGCAAATTTAACAAAGACTGATAGGTGAAAAACAATGGTGGTATTACGAGGAAAGTCATTAAATCGACCACGGAAAGCTTTATTTTTATGTAACCTAGGTGGTCGCCTGGTCAATCGCTGGACACGGTGCAGAAGAAAAAATTCGAATACCAATGAGAGAGGAACAAATATTTGCTAACACAAATTTCAAGATCTAATATTTTGGGCTTAATATGAGACGAATTATATATATATTTATATGTATAAAAATATCTTACTCAGGAAAAATGTTCAGAAGTCAAGATCACAAAAATGTCAACTAAACTAAAACCTTTATTAAACTCTTATATGAGTTGGTGTCTGTTAACCTATGAAATAATATTAACAACCTGACATAATTGATAAAATGTGAACAGCAAAACAAATAGCAACATACTTTTTATATGTTGTAGGTGCTTAGGTCAAACACCTGCCGAGGATGCAAACTGGCACATGACACATACCAATACCAATACACCAAAAGGAAATTTGGACACAATAATTTGGCTTTTAAAGAAGCATACAGGTTTACAGAAAGATAGGGTAAATCTGTTTGTTCAGAAATTCTATTACCGTACGTCGTACATGATCAGGTGGCTCGACAGTCCTTTAAGTGATTAAATGTACATAAGCAAATGAATTTAAAAAAAAAAAATCGTACTTTACGCCTTTAATTTACCAAACTAAAACAGTATTGGTAACCGATCTTTCTTAAGCTATAGGTGGTGCAAAATTGCCAATGTTTGTATAGATTATTCATGGAAAACACGATTTTGTTTCAAAGAAAGAAACCTTAACGATAGAAGATAAAATATTAAAAGAAAGCTATAATGATGGACTTTCAAAATATAAAATGAAAAAAATCAGGGTTACATGACTCGTTTTCTTGCTACAAAACAAAATAGTTACATTCAGAACACATTACAATATAAAAATATACATATTTTCTTCACTATTTTGAAATATAATGAATGAATGCCTATTTTGTCTCAAAATGTGCACATTTTTCAAAAGATCTAGACCAATTGTTTTCTGTTATTCACAATCCAAGATGTTCGAAGACACCCAAGCTACCTTAAGTATCGTTCAAAAGCAGAGACGAGATTTTTTTTTGAAAGCATCTTGGTTAATGACTTTAACACACGAATCCACTATGTCATTAATCATTCGAAAGCTTTTTTTTTGCCTTTCAATTTCATTTTTTGAAAAGCATCTTATTTAAAAAAACTTTAAAGCACCTACCAACAACAGCTGGATCTATATATTATCCGAACCCTGAGGTGAGTAAATTGTTCAAAAAACATCTTAGTTAGTGACTTTAAAGCACCAAACTATAACAGCTATATTTTATATCTTTCGAAAGCTAATTGCTGATACTTTCTCAGTTCTCAAAAACTCGCACGGTGCAATTTCCGTTTAATCCCAGTAGTAGGTAAAGGGCGGCCATTCCTACATTTAGCAAGATTAACAGGTGTGAGATGATTACCAGTGAGACAATTCTACACTAAAGACTAATTGACGTAGATGTTACCTAATAATAGGCTCTGTATGGCCTTCAGAAATGAACAAAACATATACTACATAGTACGCTATTAAAGGCACCGACATGATAAAGTATAAAACAGTTTAAGTAAGAAAATCAATTGCCTCATTACTGCACAAAATAACAAACCAAACAAATATATGATATATGGCAACAAACAACAGCCACTGGGTTAGAGGCTCTTGAATTGGAAAGACACATACGGAATGTAAAACAGGTTTGTGAGAGCTGAGCCCTTCTTTTATCTGGGATGATTATGATAACCACCCCATTCCTGTGATAGTAGTGTAACAACACAACATACAAACAATCTATAACAACTGATACGAAACACAAATAAAGACTCAAACAAACACAAAATACACAAGGTACCGATCTGATTACTCGCAGAAACTGAAAGCAGTAAAAAATGACTAAAAAAATATTCATCCAAAACAAAAAATAAATCATTACAAATCCAATGGATTAATTATAAAGACGTTTAAAATAGTCTAGGAAAACATTACTATGTGCATTGCCAAAATATATGAATAAAACATGAAGTAGAACCATGAGTTTGTCTCTATAGCAACACTAATTAATTATGTTTTATTTCAATCATAGCAAATCGATGTTAGGAGCGATAACAACAATAACAGATTGTTATTACTGTCTTCAGTTGATAAGCATTAAAAATAGGTTTATGAAAAGGATCGATACGCCTAGAAGCAGCGTTTTTCTATTTTGAATGAATGATATATAACATAATATAATAACTCTAATATTCATAAATTAAGAGATTAATTGGGCAAAATAAGTCTAAAACTATCATAGAAACTGTTATAAAGCAAAATAGTCTTCGGGGAGTCATTATTTATATACAGGAGAAGGAAATATTTTCAGAATTTTGAACCATAATTACTGATTATAATTATAGAAACAGTTTAGACTCTCTTATTTCTTTTATCTCTTTTTGATGTTGTAGTATCATTTTAAAGATATTGTTGCAATGGAAATGATCAAAGCAGTCGAAAGCGGAGACGTTACAGAATTGCAAAGGTAAATAATATAAATTAATCTCAATAAACGGTTAGTTATCTACGTTATCAGAATTTGCAAAAGTGTAAAATGCCATTTTCTACATAAGGAAATTCCTGTACCAAGTCAGGAATATGACAGATATTTCCCATTCGTTTGGTGTGTTAAAGCTTTGATTTTGCCAATTGTTAAAGGGCTTTCCGTTTTAAATATTATTTGGAGTTTTGTATTTTCATTGTTTTACTTTTAAAGAGTTACATTTCATTTCATATTCAGACGCATAAATGGTGACCAAAAAAGTTTACCGAAAGTTAATAGACCAAAGTTGATTTACATTCTTTGAAATGTATGAGATGATTAATGTCGACAAGAAATGAGATGTCAGATAATTTTCAGTGCCAAAATCTTCTCTTTTAATTCAGAATACTGAGCTGTCATTAAAAATCAGTAGAATTAATATCTCAGAATGAATTGTAAAAAAATGTGCCCACACCAAACAACACGAGCAATATTTGAACTGTATAATGCAGTTTAAAATGTGTTCTATAACTAATCTTTCAGTGCTTTTAACTAGTTCCTTTACTACTATCAAAGAACTTATCATTAACTTTTGTAATAAAACGTATGAAAATAGTGGAATAAACTATTGTTGGAGTGTTTTAGATAAACTACATGCTCTTGAAGGTCCTTTTGATTCTATTGACAGTTTTGACTTTTCAACTTATTACACTACACTTCTACAGGTGTAATACCACCATTGATTTTTCCCTATTAGTCTTTGTTAAATTTGCAATATGCATTTTCTATTGTGTATATAATCTATGTCTATTATATATACGTAACAAGGACAGGTTGTATCATCAAGGTTCATATTATAGGCAAATATTTACTCACCATATCTTTGAAATAACTACTTTTTTGGAATCAAAATTATAAATCCTACTTTTTATGAATGAATTACACATTTCCTTTCAAATAAGTTTTAACGAGTAGCACGTGGCAAAAGATCACTCGACCAGAAATTAAATGTAATAGAAATTAACATAACGAAAGATCGGAGTGAAATGCTATAAAATCGAAACTGCTTAAAGTATACAGGTAGCTCTTGTGAGAAAAAAAAAACAGAGAGAATTAATACTTTATTTATTTATTGACTTATATTCAAATGATTATCAATGATTATATATGGTGTGATGTATAAATATATAGATCAATGATAACTACATAGATAGATAATAATTATTAAGATAAATGTTATGCTGAGCCTGACTCAGCTAGTTTAACCAAGGGCTAATCGCAATCTCGGTAAATTATAAAAATAACAACTTGTATTTGAAGATTGTAGATTATAATCCACCAGAAGGGATACAACAGTTTTTACAGAGTGTGTATTGTTTGGTAAACTGAAAGAAATAAAAATACAATATTTTACAATATGTTCGAATGAAATATATGAACGTTAAATGCAATATTAAAAATCGAGTCAAAAACGAAAGTAGAATTTGCAATTCAACGAAATAAACAATTACAGTTCGTATTTGTTGAATAAACGTGTAATTCATGTTAACGGAAATAAAAGAATATATATTTAACAGTTTATAATCGATTTGGAACGTTATTGACGGTGATTTATCACAATATCCTCAGGATCAAATTTGTCGTGTCATCCATTTGCAATTGAAAGTCGAGGAAGAGACAGTAAACGGCAGTTCACACGGTTAAGTCCAGATTCAATTCCGGATAATATGGATGTCTGAAAATACAATCCAATAAACGTTATAATTAATATTATTGTCAACGTCTGATGTCTAACTGATATCACTATTTCAAATATATAACACACTTGAATATCTCACTATATAAATCCATAGTATCACTATTAACATAAAATTGTATACAGTCGTTCTCTGTGTGAAGAATCATGTCCGCGATTGGTCGTGTGTAGATGGTGGCTTTTCCATTTACGATGAAAGCTGGTGTTAAGATTAACAGATTCTCTGGATCCGTCGATACCGGTACCATAGGTCTAGAGTTCACTATTGCCGAATACTTTGCCATTAACGTGTTGCGCACGTCATGCGTTAAGGCTTCTTCCGGTTGCATTTAAAAGCATAGAATCAAGTATTCTCCTGGCGATACCAATCATTCTCTCCCATGCCTTACGTCGAATGCAATCTATTTCTTCTCCGTAAACTTTGTGTTGTGCAGACATTAAAAAGAAGTTTTCTGCATTTGAAAAGCTTTCTAGAGAGGTCACTTATTCTGCCTGTTTGACCCATGTAAACGGGAGAAACGTTCCAAAAAAGCTATCGCTCGCACAAGTGATGTCCAGTTGGAGAATCGCTGAAAACAATCAGTTCCGATACCTTTACATTCTGCTCTTGCACATGTCTTTGCAACATTGGCAGTTGCATGGATTTCTCCATTGTCCTCTGGATCGATAAGTTGATATTCGTCCTTGGAATTTTCTTTCTGTTCTGAGGCAAGAAGTTGTCTCGGTCCCAGAAACCACTCACTACTATGAATTTCGTAGGCTGGTACGGACCTTGTTCCTGAATCTGCGGGATTACGGTTAGTTGGTACATAATTCCATTGACTTGGAGAGCTAAATTTCCTTATTTCCTCTACTCTATTAGCGACGTAGATAAAGAACCTTCTTGTCTCGTTACTGATGTAACCTAAGACCACTTTACTGTCTGTGTATAATTTCACGGTGTCTATGTGTAAATCTAAATTATCCACGATGGTTTGTCTGATCTCAACTGCTAATACAGCAGCAGATAAATTAAGTCGTGGAATAATGTGACCACTTGTTGGTGCAACTTGTTTGGTTCACCACTACTGTCGGTCGTGCGTAGATATGCAACAGCTTCTATGGCTTTTTTAGACGCATCAGAGAAAACATGTAACTCCTTTGTGGCGGTTTTGCTGAGATACGGCACGTAGGTACGTAGAATGCGCAATGTTTCAATAGCTATTTAAGTATCTCCATTCAGTTGCTGTCTCATCAGAGAGAGGTTGGTCCCAATCGACAGTTTCTGAAACTATTTTCCTTAGTAGGAGTTTTCCTTGTATAATCACAGGCGCTTAAAATTCAAGAGGATCGTAGATGCTGTTTATCGTTGATAAAATCCCTCTCCGAGTGAGCGGTTTATTTTCTGATGACAATTGAAATAAGAAGTTGTCAGTGTTTACGTCCCAGCTGAGTCCAAGACTACATTGCAGGGGTTTGCTGTCGACATCTCAGTCTAGACCCTTGAGATTTGAAGCCAAATCACTGGCTTGGAATGCAGACATATCTTCCGCACAATTAGAGGCGAACTTGCGAAGCCTTAAGTTTCCATATTTTGCTAATGCTTGTTGTGTGTCCTTCATGAGCGTAACAGCTTCCTCTTTTGTAGGACATGACGTAAGACCGTCGTCGACATAGACATATCTTGTAACAAAGCTAGTCACTTGACTGCCGAACTTGTTCTGATGCATGAGCTGCTTTACTGAGTCCAAGCGTAGCAACGGCAGGTGACGGACTATTTCCGAAAACATGGACTCTCATGCGGTATTCGATAAGGTTCTCTTGTAGTTCGTTGTCTTTATGCCATAAAAATCTCAGATAATTTCTGTGGTCTTTTCTGACTACGAAACAGTGAAACTTGTGTTGAACGTCAGCAGTTACTGCAACCATTTCTTTCCTGAAACTCAACAGTACTCCCAAGAGATCATTGGTTAATTCTGGACCTGTTAACAGGACGCTGTTAAGTGATACTCCGTTACATTTAGCGGATGAATCGAACAGACCCCTAATCTGATCGGGTTTCTCCGGGTGATAAACACCAAATAATGGCAAGTACCAGCATTCGTCATGGTCGTCCAACGGTGGAGCAAGCTCTGCATTATTGTTGTCAAGAATCTTACTCATGAATGTGAGAAAGTGTTCCCGTTTTACTGGGTTCCTACTCAGACAGGCGTTTAACATATTTGCACGATGAAGAGCTTGTTGTCTATTGCTTGGCAATGGCTGTATTGGCACTCGGAACGGTAACGGTGCTACCCAACTCCCCTTCGAGTCCCTCACAAATTCGTGGTTCATCTGCCTCATGAACATTTTGTCTTCATTATGACATTCCAGGCTTATCAACGTCCCTTGTTTTTTCAAAGAGTGGCGATTGTAAATCTTTCTTAACGGGGTCTGTGTAATTTTCCCGGATGTAAAACTTGCTTATGCATGGTTGAAACGTTGACGGCTGTTCTGTAGGTAAAATGTTGGTAAATTTGACGATTATTCAAAAGGTACGTGCTGCTTGTTAATGCAAGTCTCTCCTATCACTACCCAACCCAGCTTCAATTGTTGTACATATGGAGTTTTTGGGTGGTCCTATGCGCTGGTCAGGAACGTGGTGTGCCTCTATAAGGTCTCTGCCAATTAAGAGAAGAATTTGGCACTGTTCCTCTATTGGTGGAATATTTCCTCTGAGTTCCTTTAAAAGAGGATGATGCATTGTGACTTCAGGAGTAGGAATTTCGTCCCTATTATTGGGAATATGATCACATTCTATAAGTACAGACATGTCAAATTTGTCATTACTATATAGTGATTCCATGACGAAACCTTTTCCTCTTTTCCCGGAGGTAACTACTCTGCCGGAGCATGTTAAAAGGGTATAGTTTTCCGTTTTATTTTGTACGGTAAAAAGACTAAAGAATTCGGGCGAGGCAAGAGACAGGTTGCTTTGGTCATCAATGATGGTGTACATCCGGATGACTTTGTTCTGGTTGTCCTTGTGATAAACATTCACAGGTAGTATTTTAGCACAGGATTTCCCGTTATATGTATCCTTGCAGATTTCGGTGCAGGTAGAATTAACTGAGGTTGACTTTGTTTTAGCCGATTCTGTTGGCTCCCCGCCTTGGGCTGGTCTAGGCGAACTATACTGAGAAAATGCAGGCGGTTGTTGTCTAGTTATATGAAGTGCGGTGGTGTGTTGTTTACTTCCACATTCTTAACAATTTATGCGTGCATTGAA